TGGCGAAACAATGGCGCCTGTCTGCGAGCAGGCGATATATGTGTTTGTTTTTTCATAATTTTAATTGTTCAGTGCGTTATTTATGCTCTGAAAAAATTAATGTTCACTTATGCGATAATTTTCGTAGCCACGCATTCGTCACGCATTTGTCGTTGTGGTATTCAATTTAAAAGAAGGCTCAAAATCATCATTGAAAGGGTCCAATAAAAAAAAAAATCCAAGAACTTTGAAATTAACATTTTTTGCTTCTTAAAACTTATTGTAACACCACTGAATTTGAATATTCCACTTAAAGGAGCATAAAAGGACCACATTAATTAACTGATAAAATTAAAAAGGAAATAGCTATAAAAGAAAACTAAAACTGTTATAATCAATAATTTTATTTTTCCTTAAGTATATCCTTTTCTTATTTATTTTCTTATTTTCTTTTCTTAGCACAGAAAATTTCAGAATTATTGATAAGTTTTTTTCAATTTTATACTTACAATCGTTTATCTTATTAAAGATCTTTTTTTGTATGTAGTAAAACTATTTCGGTAAAATAGTTTAATTGGTTTGTCATAGAATTTCATTGTATATAGAGAGATTTTTTAATATTTCTTATTTCTTTCAAATTTAAAAAGGAAAATTTTCCAAAGAATTTGGACTAAGATGAAAAACAATTTCAGAATTTCCAATTTCTTTTGTAAGGATCAGGATTTCGATTGAATAGTACATAATATTTTTTTTACATAATTTAGGGAAATTTTATGAAAATCATATCCAATGGCAAGATTTCATTTTAGAAAACGAATGACAAATTTAAAAAATAACAAAATTTGGAGAAATAAAATTTTGTTCTTTGAAATTTGATTTATTGTTTATGTATGTAAATATGTATGTATGAATGTTTTTGGCATTAATGAAGAATTTTTTTTTTGACAAAATAAATTTAAATTTTATTCCATAACCTCTGCTAGATTAGTAGAATTACATGGGTTACGAATTTTAATATTTATGTGTGTCTCAATCAAGGACATGCCGTTTTTGTGCATTATTAAATTTGAAATTCCAAAAAAAAGAACAAATTATAGAAGATTTGTGATTTATGCTTTTCTTTTTTTTTTTCAAAAATTTATTATGAAAATAATTTATTTCTCTCTTTTTAGTCTTTAGGCTGATTCATTTATTTTTTATAGAGCAATACAAAGAACAAATTTTTTTGGATCAAATTTTCATTTTGGATCGAATGGATAAAATAGATTAAATAAATTAAGATTTGTGATTTTTTAAAATCTAGTTGCATTGAAAGGTCAATTTGTTGATTCTGCAAATAAAGATTATGATCAAATCAAACAAAAATTTTCAGAGGAAACATTGAAGAATGAATAGATTAAATGAAACAATTTTTTAATTTGTTTTTGACTGAGACAATTTCGATGGAAGAATCCATAGAATACCAAATTTGGAACGATAGGTTATTTACAAATATTAGAAAATCAAATATAAATAAGTTAAACAGCTAATATAAGATGAAGTCTAAATATGATGGGAATAAGACGGAAGTACTTTTAGCTACATCTGACAATACATTTGATAGTGTAAGATGATGCGTTAAGGCTGGGGTCTATTTTTAACAGGAGTCAGAATTTTCATATTGACTTCACAACCTTTTAATGTTGTTGGGAATTTTACAACAAATTTTGCGTTTTGTATGTCAAGTCATTAACTCCTATTGAGATTTTTAAATTTTTAAAAAGATTACTAAAATTTTTGAAAATTAGGGTAAAATCATAAGCGTTAAAATGTTTTGTTTAAAATTTATAATAAACCATTTTTGAATAACGAATGAAATTTAATCGAAAATTTTTGGTTTTAGTATCATAATTTATCCTTGAGATTCAAATAAAAAAGTAGATAGATAAGAGAAGTAAGCAATTTAATGTGAAATTAAGCAAAAATTTGAGGATCCAAAAAAAGTTTATGTACAATGTTTAATTGTACGTTTATATAACAAAACTAGAGTCAAAGTAATTAAGTATTTGTCAAAAAGGCACATTTCACTTAAATGTTTTTTTAAGAGTTTAAGACTGTAGGGTACTTGTAAGAATTTGAGATTGTAGGTATTTGTAAAATTGTTAAATTCTATTAAATACGTAAAATAAATTTTCATAGGCGGAATATTGTTCACAAGTTTTATTTCTCACTAGAAACTTTAGTTCTTGTTCAATTTCGTCAAATTTCTTATTCAATTTTATTAACTTTGAAATAAGCATGTGGAAGGACAGATAAGAAAACTGAAATTATTTTATTTTTTTTCGAATTCTCAAAAATGTTCTTAAAAATTATTTAGTATTTTTCCTCAATAATTTAGAACTGAAAGGAAATTAAATATTGTCAATATCAAATTGTACAAAGAAACAAAAACAAAAAAAAAAACTCAAAAAAGGATAATCTTTTTTCTTCTAGGTCTTCTTAAATATTTAAATGGACGCAATGAATAAAAATCTTGATTTTTACGGTAGAGAGTAAGATTCCGCAAAAATAAAAATAAAACAAAAAAATTTTCAACGCAAAAATTATTTTCGGAAGGAAAATTATCTTTTCTTCTGAGTCGATTTTTAACATTATCAAGACCCATAATGCTCATTTTGGTTTACGGAAAACTGAAATTATTTTATTGAAATTTAAGATTGTAAACGGCTTGATTTAAAAAAAATTGTACAATTAAAAAACAGTCAATATCTGGATGTAAATATTTGTATTCCTTTTAAAGAAATGACAAATTGGACGTCCAGCTACTAAGATCAACTTCTGCTCTAGTTCCGACAAAAAGTGAAGCCAGATTGAGTGTAATACTGCACAGGAATAAAAGCTGCTAACCTGCAAATTTTTGTATTTATTTGCCATTTTGTAGTAATTTTGACATTTTATGTCAAATAATTAATGAAGATAGTACTTTCTGAATCCAAGTGAACGCATCGAAAATAAATTAAATGAAACTGGATGTAATACAACCAAATAGAACACGAAGACCCTCTTTTTTAAATTAAACTATTTGAGATCAACTTTGAGCAAAATTAATCTTTCAAATTTACATATTGATTTCAATAATATTTATTGGAATGCACTAAATCAAAAAGCTTTAATTAATAATTCAAATGATAGAAAAATAATTTATTGCGGTAGGCATTTAAAATATTTTTTATATACATACATACATACATACATACATTCATAAAAAATAATTCGAAAATGTAATGTGGAATTCATAATTTTCAGATCACGTTTGTTGAAATGCGTCATCAGAATTTTTTTATAAATTTTTATTGTATCATTTCGTTTTTTTTTTTTTGGATACTCTTAATTATTATTAAATATTTATTCGGGAAATTATGGAAATGTTTTAAAATCATCGTTTTTCAATTTAAAATGAAAAAAAAAGATTCCCATTACTTTTTTATTACTTTTTGTTTTTTTCTTATTTCATTGAGTTATTTTATGCCTATTTTATTTCAATCTTAATTTTTTTTTGGCGAATTACATTAGGTATACACAAAGTATATGACGATACATGCTGTACCGATACAATATACCCTATTCATATAATTTTAAGTATCCTAGTTTTCATTAATGTAGAAAAAACTGCTGTCAAACTACGGCAGAGTGAGCAAAATGACATTATTGAAAGCAGATGATTAAATTTATTTTTAACTGCACAAATGACAACATTATACGATATAACGTTGATATTGCTGAATATAAAAGTTACTGTCTCAAACACATACTTTTGTAATAAGTGAGTTACCGAAAATTATATATTGTACTTACAGAAATACCGAATTTATGTTTTAGTGGAGACAGGCTATGTATATGTAATATAGAATCTACCATTATAGTACTGTAGATAACGTAATTACAAATTCCATTTTGGTGGTTTCCGCGTATTGCTGGAATAATTTTTATTTTATTTTTAGAAATATTTTTGTAAATTCCGATTAAGATTTATTTTTGTATAAAAAATCAACAAAAATCAAGAGAAAAAAATAATCAAAAAATTTTATTTTGTATTCGATATTTATTGTTTATATTTTTATTGTGTATAAAATCAAAAATTTGAGTAGCAAAAAAAAATTGAAAATTTAAATTAAAAAAATGCTTTTTTGGAGAAAAGAGAATTTTAATTAAAGAAAAACAAAAGAATAAAAATTACCCTGATTATTAAAATTGGCTTTCAGTTTCAAACGAAAATTAAACGCTTATACAACATTGTTCTATTAAAATAATTTCTTTGGTCGGCGGTCTCTTTTTTAATACGCTTATAATTGTGTATATAATTTCGTATTATTTTAATTATATAAGAAATTCAAAATTGTTATTTCGAAAACTTGGTTTAGAATTAAATTAATTAATTTTATTGAAATTATAATGATTATTCGAGATGAAAATTTCTAAATAACATATCATGTAACAGGCGACGGTAAGTCTGTTCTCTAATTTTTTAATCAAGCACTGTAAGATTAGTTAATTTTTTGAGAATTATTGCATAAAATCGATTAAAGGACGCCATCTATGAATTTCAATGAAAGTTTTCATTAATCGATTTTGTACCTTTTTTAACATTGTGCCATATGATAGTTATTTTTAAAACAGTTCAACAGTTACAATATGATAAAATCTTAAAGACATACAGTAGCTTAGCTACCCATCACTATTGAATATTAATCGTGTCGTAAAAGTGACATTATTGAATAATGTGGTTGCTATTATATTATTGAAATTTGAAGAATTTTATAATTTTTCTAAAGTCTAGGATTTTGGATTGTCTGTGCCCAAAGTCAGCGAAACTTACAATAAATTTGTCTATAACTTTTTCAATGTTTTATTTTAAGTAAAGAGAATAAAGTATTTTGTTGTATAATTATTATAGAATTGAATTTTCCTGAAATAAAAAATTTATTTTTTAAATATAATTTTTATATTTAATTAATTGATTAAAATTTTGATTTTCATTTCAGATTTTAATTATGTGTTATTACCAAAAATTTGACAAATAAATCGGAATTGAAGTTGGAGTTATTTTTTTTTTAGTTTTGGTTAAAATATAAAATTGTATATACAAGCTTCTAAATTCAAAATATTGTTTCTAAGATTTATATTGCTAAGATTTAATTTTCAAAATTTATTAAAGTTTTACAATATTTGTTTTAAAAATACACACATAATATACCTATAGTGCTACCATTTTTTAAAAATAAATTTAAAAAAGAATAAAATTATAAATTACAGAATAAAATATTAAATAAATGTCCTCAAAAATAGAAAATTAAAAATAGAAATAGAAAAAAAAATTGAATATTTTAAATATATTTCTGTGTGTGTGTGTAGATGTGTTTCTCATTTTTGGAATATATATTAAAATATTAATAAATACCATAATTAATTTCATAATTTAAAAAAAAAAAAATTGAAAAATTGAAGAGAAAAATATTTAAAATGGGTTGCGAATTAAGTAAAATCGGTTCAAATAATAAAGATGATAAAAATATAGAAGATGAAAAATTAAGTGAACCACCGGCACCAGCAGCACCTGATCCTCGTCTACCATTAACAGCAAAACAAAAATATAATTTATTAGCATCATGGCGTGGTATTAGTAGAGCAACACAATTAACTGGTATCAATATGTTTGTAAAGTGAGTATATTTCTTATTTTTGCTTTAAAAATTTTTATTTGAAATACATACATATATTTATTTAACTTCAATTTAATATTCTATATATGAAAAATACTTGGAATAAATTTATGTTATCGAATTATGGTATTACTTGATTTTAGTACATTTTGATAATAAATATTTGAAATATTTTTACTGATATTGTAATGTAAGGAAACTGTTTATTTTTAGCGAGAAATCATCTGGCGGTCTTGGTCAATTTTTGGTTTAACAAATTTTTATGAGATATTAAATATGTATATTAATTGGAATTGGGAAAACATTTTAAATTGTTCACTGAAAGTGAATTTTTGTCCAGCTGTTTTTATATTTTTGACCCTCTTTAAGAAAGCAATTTGCCAAATTTTATTGAAATTAGATGTACTCATTCTGTCTTGTAATAGAAGAAAAATATAGACTTTTATGAGAAATCAGAGGTTGGAGACTGGAATTTCTGGATTGAAATGCGTGTACACTGCAGCTGTAGTAAAGTTTGCCTTTACATTTTGGACTACATATGTATATCTATAAAAATAATTATAAACATTATTTTGAAAAATATACAAGGCAATTAGATATGTTCACATCATTATTTTGTGCGTATACGGACGTGTTTTGCAAAGTACATATTTGCTTTTTTAAAATAAATATCAGAAAAAAGACGAACGGATTCGAAATGTACACAGGATTCAAGGCAATTGAAAATCTAAAATTGTCCAAGAAGTTGTAAGAAGTAAAAGCTGATAAAAAATAATATTAATGTTTTTTTTTTTTTTATTATTGACTTTATCGTGTAGGAATTGTTTTGAAAGTTAAAACAAAAAATTTATTATTTTCATGTTATCATAAAATAAAAGAATTCTATGTGTAATATAAGTAATGTCTAAGACTCTTAATATAAGTAATGTCTAAGGTACTTAATATTTGAACGTAGGTTTTTAGTAAAAATAATATTTATCAATCGCAAAATTGAATATCAAAAAAGAAAAATGTTCTTTAAATATTAAATTTAATCGTTAAATATGGGATAAATAAAATCAGATATCACAATAATCATAAAAAATATAAGATTTCAAAAATGAAAAATTAAAAGTCATTGTGTATAAAGTAATTCGTGTAGTATTGTAATTAGGTTTTACAAATTTCCGAATTTTTAACATTCTTACACTTTTATTAAGAATTTAATTTATTACTTGACCATATCTTACACGATTTTAATTAAATATAACAGAAGTTATAGACTTAGATTGCCTCAATAATTTTATAAAATTTTTATTAAAATTCATTCAGTAAAAATAAGAATTGCCAACGGCTACATTTAATATCGTATCAAAAATAAATAATAATAATGGCTAAGAAATTATACAACAATTTTTTTTAAAGCTAGGAATATAACCCAAAAATAAACTGTTCATTTAAGGAGCTAAAATCGATAAGAAAAAAAAATAGAATAGAAGTTATTACGAAAAGGATTTAAAAAGGATATCTTATACAAAATTATAATGTAACAGTTTTATTTTCAATGAAATTATTGCATTAACAATAGCTGGGAGTGTTAAATGTAGGTTATACTTTTAACTTAATTTTACGGGATGAAAACCTTTTTTTTTTTTACAAATTCTATTAATTTTTGCTGATTCATTTTTGGTTTATTTTTCATGGTTAACTGTACAATAAAGGGTATAGGATTTTATGTTTTTGGGTGTTTATATTTTGTTAGAAACACGAAAGCGGAAACCACAACAAAAGATAAAAAGAAAGAAACAAAACGCATAAAGGGTAATTTTTTTGGTGTTATTTGCCATTGCTATTAAATGAACTTTCATTTATTGTTTTTCTTTTCTTGTTTTTTACTCAAATCGCTTTAATTTTAAAGCTACAACTCTTTTGTTTTGCAAAAAAAAAATATTCCTTTTTGAAAAATTTTTCTATGGTTCTCTGGTAACCATGCTAGAATTTATATTAGGTTTCATTCTTCAATATTATGGATATTGTTTCGAAGTAAAGAAAAAAGGACATTTTTCCTTATTTAGAAGAAAATGTATAAGATTTGAAATTAGAATGGACAAATACAAAAATAATGATATGAAAAGGAAAAAATAAGAAAAATATAAAATATCCTTTTTAGATAATCTGTTTGTGTCTCTTATTTTTGTTTTTGTTTTCCGTTTTTTTTTTTCTTTTATTTGAACAGAAAAGGAAAGAGACAAAACGTTTTTTTTTGTGAGGAAAATCCAAGGAAATTCAATTTTATATTAAATAAATCAAAAAATACACAATAAACGTTAAAATAATACGAATTGAATGTGCATGTGTTTAATATAGATATTGTTATACGCACCAATATACTTGTATACTGATAATGTAGAGTAAAAAACCTTGAACTTTATAGCTTTAATATAAGGGACACCATCACGATTGTGGTACAAACATTTATTGTGCTAAAATTTTAAATGGAATGAATTTTTTTTTTTTTTTTAAATAAATTCATATACACATATATAATGTAAATATTGTATAGAAATATTACATACTATATAAATGTCTAACTTAAGATAACAGCAGACATATTTTCAAAATTGTGCCAGTGGTCTTAACGTATCAAATTATAAAATTTTTATTCTTCTCGGACTATACATTAAGAACCAGAATTATACACAATTGTATAATCGTGGAGTAAATGTAAGATGGGAAGGTCATCATAAAATAGAGGGGAGAGGGGACGGGAAGCAGCACATTTGTGAAATGGCCATAGGCAAGTCCGCTACACTTTACACTTAGAAGATGTGATAAGGAAAAGTCAGTGAATTCATATGTCATACAATAAAATTAATTAATTAGAAAATACATTAGAAATCTTGTGAAAGGTCACATTTTTTGCTTTTATTATTTCTTATGAAATATTAATATATTTTTGGCCGACAATTGTACAGTCGCTATATACAAAATATTTGCATAAATTGTTAACATTAGTGTAATTTATATCGGTACTTACTTTTGTTTATATAGGTATACATATACGATATTCCAAATAAAAATGAAAAATTATGGTATTTATTCATAAAAATTGAATATAAAAATTAATCACTATACAGATACAGTATGTATTACATACTTATAAACATTTACAAACTAACAAACTATAACAGTATTTTAAGTATAACAATATTATAACTGTACTCTTATGTGTTTTCTCAATTATTTATTATGACCATTTTTTTTATTATAATAGTGTTGTCTATCACTGTGTTATGTAATATTGTGCACGGGTTTATGTTTCAGTATTTTAAAAAATGAGTTTTTGTTAAAGAATTCCATGTTATACACACGTTTATATATTTATGTACGCAAAGCAATAACGGTATATGCAATGTTATAAATCTTTACGTGTTACCATTTAAGATCACGATTTAAAAATTTTGGAAAATTGAAGGAAATTATGTCTAATACTAAAAGAAATAGAATATCTGAATCTAAAATGAAATTTTATTAGAATGTAATCGCAACCTTAATCTTATTAAATCGTTATTATAGAGAAATAAAAGATCAAATCTTTGTACAATAGAAACAAGAAAAGGGAAGGTTTTTTTTTTCGAAATTTTTTTTATTGGTAGGATTTTTTATTGCTTTGATTTTTTAGGTTACAGTTTAGTTTTGAAAAAAATGGTGTTGAAGAGTTTCTATTAATATAGAACGAGGTAGTGTTAATAAAAGAAAGAGAGAAAGAGAGGCTTAAACAATGATTTACGTAATCCTTAAATTTTTGCGAAATTTTGGCTCTTAAAAAAGCTTTAAACTTTTAAATATTAAGTTGTGAGTAAGTTTATTTAGTTTGCATTTTCGGAGATCATAGACAATTGTGATTGAATTCAAATATTTAAGCCAAATCAATTATGTAGAGAAAATAAGTAAACCGAAAAGGTGTAAAATTAATTGTAAATTTCTGAAGCAGTTTAGAAATTCTTTAGTATTTAACCCAAATATTTTCTTTATTTAAAATAACAATAAAATTTTTGTTTGGGATTATTTCTTTGGTTTTACATATTACGCCAGCGTTCTATTTTATGTTTGTATACGTTCTTTGGAATGTATATATATGGATGTTTTTAAGAAAGCTTACACTCGACCTTCAAAATAGATTCGATAAGATAAAAATAATCTTAACCGCTGAACAAAAACTTGCGATAAAACAATTACGAAGTTACCCTATTAGTCCCTTGACCTTGAATGGAAGATTTATTTTAAAAATTAATTTGATAACGATGTTCAAGTGTTAATGTATTATGATTTCCTAAATGTAATAATTTTGTATTATGATAAAAACCGAATATTTACTACACTCCAACCGTTTTATGCAGGAAATACAAATGCGATAGTGATATAAGCTTTATTTACCATATATAATTTTAACGATTATGTGTTAATCAGGTTAGCATTAAAAGCACAAGTACAAATTAACTGTAATATTTTTTTCCATGCACCTTTTCCTTACCTCATTTATAAATTTTAATGAATAGAAAAATATTCTTCCTAGAAATCTCCTTTTTTTTATGAAGAGTCTCGTAGCAACGAATTAAATTTCATATTATACATACACGTTAGCATTATCTCGAGTATTAAAAATTTGAATTCATTTTACCGACGTAAAAGTTTTCACAGGTTTTCAAGAGAATGAAAAAAAGTAATGTTTTGCATAATAGATTTGTTACTTTGTACTTTGTAATTTTTATGAAGTATGGAAGAAGAATCAAGGGTAGGTACTTGAATTCTTTAAACAAAAAATTATTAACAATTTAAATTGTTGTTTATTTCCACTCGTTTTTGTTCTTTAATAGTTCAATTATTAGAAGAATTTTTATTCAAATGTGACCTCTCAGAGATGAATGACAATTTTTAATAGCTTTTTGCAAGTTGTTTCTGAAAATTCGGGAAAAAAACTTTTTATTTTGTCAAAAGTTGTAATAAATATGATTTGTAAT